AAATACAACAGAGAGATGGAGGAGGACAGGAATACCTTGTGATGAAAAGGAGTGTCGCAAGAACAAACTGATGAGAATAGAGAAGGGAGAGGGATAAAGATAGAAGGCATGAGAGACGTGCGCAAGCGGGAAGGTGAGAAAAGAGAGATAAAGATAGAATAGAGAGGAGACGTGAGGAAGGAGGAGGCTGACTCTTTGGGCGGGAAGATATATATTTAGGATTGATATAAAATTAAGGGAGTCATCTCAGCCATCAATCTAAATAAGTAAATAAATCCTAGCCATTGAAATGTCCTAGTAGGACAGTTGTGTCTAACATATTTTCAAAATTCGTTCTGCTTTATTATATAGATATATTGTTTCTAGAATTATATACAAAAAAAAAAAATTATTTTTCCTGTACTAGAATATTCAAGACAGAGGCACTTCAGATGAGAAGCCCGAGCGCATGGCATTGACATCACATTCCCCCTAACACTATGGAGCCACTAGCCCAGTAAGCCTCAAAATTACAATGTTAAAAACCTTTGAGCTACAAGATCAAATATAAGACTATTTTAATTCACACCAAGAATTCTATTATAGTCTGTGAACACAAAGGGGCCGAGGTAAAAAAGAAACAAGTAAGTTCATATAAGATTAAAAGTTAATTTGGTAAGAAATAACATAAGTGAACTTTAAGTCAGCTTGTGCTTGTGCTTCAAAGGAAGACTAAAAACCTTATGTTGTTAGGACTTTTTCTTGAGAATAATCATCCTATGTTGATACAAGAAATAGATGAGAAAGAATATCTATGCCTTCACTTCAAATAGTACTTAGGACTGATAAGAATTCACAAAACAAAATACCTCCCAGAGATCTTCTTTACAGGAAACTCTGTAACATTAATGCCCTTCTATAGTAAATCATGCCAAACACTATAATTCCAGCCATGATAATGGACACTATTAGAATATGAAGTAAATATCTATGTCGTGTAAACTATCCAAAGGATGCTGAAATTGAAAATAAACAAAGTTTTCACATCAGATTTAGGGAGTAAAATGAATAAGCATCAACTGAATCTAACTTGTCCTAGCTAAAGTCTGGCCTCAATACGATGCCCAAAACCGAAGCTCCAAGGAAGCAAACACAAACCCACTTATCCTGAGCCGAATGCCTACAGCCAACATCGCATTTTTTTAAGAAAAAAAATTAAGGATTCAAATGTTCTTCCTTGAAGACAAAAAGGAATAACGTAGTCTAATTATCTATATTCATTAGAAATACATAAAATTATGTTCTACCAATATACAAACATAGATTGAAAAAAATGAAAATAGTGAGATTGAAAAACAAAAGATCAAAGTGAATGAGATTCAATTGAAAAGAAAGCAGACCAATCATTATTTGGAAGAAAATAAAGATAAATGTTGATAAGATAATCATTGATTTAGATAAATACGATATCATCCAGAATGTAAGCCATGCCAGGTCATCAAGCATAGAACAGGTAAAGGTTAACCCATGTAGTAATTCACATACTTTAACATAAGAAAATGATAAGGAAGAAATTGAATATGGAGAATGGTCAACAAGGCACAGAGATGTGATGAACTTTAATATCTTCCTTCCATATTGAGAAGAACAAAGCTAATTGGAAATGAACATAATCAAACCTACTTGAGTTTCTGCATTAAGTGAGAGGGCATTCACACCATAAATGTTGATCTTAATTCAAGACAGTAATAAATTTTTTAAAAATGTCTAAGGCAGGCCTCTTGTCACACCCCAAACCCGTCCCTAAAAGTTTGGGCATGACCTAATCGGAAACAGACATTAAATCTGATATACATACATATGGGGTCTGAACGGAAGCATTAAATATCATAAAATAACATAAAATAAAAAGAAACTACATCCATTGAGCTCAAGCTTTCCATTGTTTCATTAAAAAAATAAATAAATAAGAAGAAAACGAAGAAGATGGACCCAAAACAATTATCAAACATCAAAACAACCATAACCCTTCAATTTGGATGCAGAGAAAAGCAATAACAAGATGGAAAAATTCAAAAAAAATATTTTCTTTCACCAAGAACCTAATTTCACATTCAGGTTTTAATTTTTTTAATTCAGATTCAAACATTTTCCCCAACTCACATTCAAGAAAATAAATAAATAAATAAATAAAAATTCACAACCTAAAACACAATTGTAATTTTTGATTTGCTCAATCAAAACCCTAATTTTTCAATGAAAGAGAGAGAGAGAGAGAGACCTGAAACAGAGTGATAGCATAAATAATTTAGTTCCTCATCCTCCCCTGAGTGGTTATACCAATCTCATTCTCGTTAATCGGCATCTCTGGCCTCGGTTTCTCTACCCTCTGATACCGATCCATCTAACACAAAAAAACCCAAAGTCAAAAACACAATTTTTTCTCCAAAAAATCAAAAACCCAACAAGAAAACAGCAAAAGAGTACATAGAAATTAGATCTGAAGAAGGGAATAGGAAGAGGGTTAACCATGGTGAGTGTTGAGCGAGTTTGGAACGGGTAAAAGGTAATGAAAGTCTCTAAAAACCCGCTCTCGCCTTTTGCTAGTCTCCATGGCAGCTCTAGATCGATGAATTTGGTGAGAGAAGAGCCATGGCCGTTGTGGGTTGTAGAAAGAGAAATTGGAGGGGAGAGAGAGAGAGAGAGAGAAATTGGTGAGAATATGATTTAGGGTTTGAAATGGAAGGGTGTGGTAGAGGAGCTTCTGCAGATCACTAGTTGAGTTTTTAGCATTTGCAGAGAGAGAGGGGCGGGGAGAACTATGCCCAATTTCAAGAGTATTTCATTTTAGTATTTGGCGTGAGTATTTTGTTTTGGCGCTTACTATTATTTTGGTTATATTATTTATGATAGAAGTTGTATGTCATGAAAAGTAAAATATTTTTAATGACTAGCATATGTGTGTCATGGAAAGTTTATTTTTTAATGATTGACTTTTTGTGCGTCGTAAAAAATATAATATTTTTAATGATCGACTTTTTATGCGCCGTGAAATATTTAATATTTTTTAACGGCTGGTGTACGCGTGTCGTGTATAATTGATATATTAACGACATGTCATATGCACGTCCTAGAAAGTTTTATTATTTACGACTAACATTGCAAGCCGTAAATTTTTTTTCAGTATTAGCATTTACGGCCTACGCAATAGACACGCCGTAGTTGGAAAATTATTTACGACATGCAAAAAAAATAAATCGTAAAAATGAGAAATCACGCCTTGCATTTACTGTATGTCATTAATGTGGAGTTGTAAAAACTCAGTTTTCTTGTAGTGGAGAAAGAAACAGAGAGAGAGAGAGAGAGGTCATACCTTTGTGTGTTTTGCAAGAGAGGGATGAGAGGAAAATTGGAACACCAAAAAAAAAGGAAAAAAAGGATGGGGGAGAATTAGTAGGGTTCCTTTTTTTCATTACCGCTAAATCTCAAAGTTTCCCTTTAAGATTGGTTGGTGATAAAATAATTTTGTCATTAAAAATTTTAAAATATTAAAATTATTGACGATAAAAATATATTTCTCATTAAATAGTTTTAAAATATTTAAATATAATTTTTTAAAAAAATATTTAAAATTATTGGTGACAAAAATATATTCCTCACTAATAATTTTATAATTAGTGACAAATATTTTTCTCACTAAAAGTCTCAAAATTTTGGCACCACCAAAAAAAAATTAGAAGGAAAAATCTTTGGCGACGAAATTTAATTTTTCCTCACTTAAAAAGAAGTATTTATTGATAAAAATAAATTTCGTCATCTATTATTTTTACTTTTTTATTATATGTGACAAATTTTATAATTCGTCACGGATTATTCATTTAGTGACGAAATTTATTTTCTTCACTACTTTTCGTCATCATAAGTTACTTTTGTTATAGTGATATTCCTTTTAATGAATAGTTATTGAATATAACGGTGATATTACGTAATGAGATTATTATTTAAGGAGTAATTTCACTTTGTTGTAAAAATTACAATATGATTGGGCTAGACTTTTCTATCTAATCTAATTTTGTAATTTTTTGTCGCCCGAACATCACGTAAGACGCGAAACTTCAGCCAAAACAAGCAAGGTTATTGTTTGGATGCAATGGATATGAACTTGACCTTCTTTTTGGGGTAATCTACATACATTTATATATCGTTTGGTTTCTGACGAAGAAAAAAATGGGAAGATGAAAACAGAAAAGATAAATAGAAAAGTAAGACCAAAATATAAGCCAATCCGGATTCATTTGGTAGGTTTTTATTGGTTCTACTATAGAGCTCATTTTCTAACGTCAATCACGACCCACAATGGCTTTGATTTGAAAAGTTTGTGCACGCATCATTTTCCTAAAATGAAATAAGCAAAGAAAATAAAAGAGATGAGATAAATGAGGTAGAGATGTGTTCATAACAAATGATGCAAAATAGAAAACAGAAGCAGCGTTACAGCTTCAAAATCATCCTGATTTGGGAAATTGTGATGAACGTGGTTTAGTTATAATTTAGGGTAAATTATAAATACATTCCCTGAGATTTGCTTAAATTACGAATTATCTCATGTGGTTTGGAAAATTATAAATACCTCCCTATCAGAATTTTTTATTTAACATAATTAATTAAAAGAGTAAAATTTCTAACTGTTTACCTATATAATAATAAAATTATCTGAATTATTAATTGAAATAAAATTTTAAAATTATTAAAAACTGTTAATTAACTTAATGATTTATTAATAAAAAGATATATTTGTTATGAAATTAAAAACCTTATGAGGCATAATGTAATTTTTAAAACTACATAGATAATTTGTAATTTAAGTAAAACTCATGAGTTGTGTTTGTAATTTACCCTATAATTTAATGTAGATGGTGACGAGAGTATGACTAAAGCAAGAGAATACGCAACTGAATGATGCACATCAGTAGCAGATACGCATGGTGATCATGCATCAGTTGTTACCAACATACATACCACTCTTTATTAATACAAATTTATCAGACTAAAAAACAAGCCTAAAACCATTCTTACTTAACAAAGAACCAGAAACTAAATTCTTTTGGATGTCTAGTACATGCAGCACATTGTTGAGGGCCAGTTCCTTCCCCGATGTCATCTTCAAGACTACTTTCCCTTGTCCAGCCACAGCAGAAGTAGATGAATTTTCTATGAATAGTTGCTCACCATTTGCAGACTCATTATAAGTAGTGAACATCTTCTCGTCCGTGCAAATGTGTCGAGTTGCCTCAATGTCAACCCACCATTCCTTGGGATTTCTAACCAAATTAGCCTCAGACACTACAGCAGAGAGATTGATGTCATTTAAGACCTATTTGTTGATGTTTGAGCATATGTTGAAAATTTAGTTTTGTTTATGAACTATAGAAACATTGTATATGTTTTGGATTATGGAGGCATTGTAAATGTTAAAAATGTTTCAAAAATAATTTAACTTGAACATTGCATATGTTATCTAGTTTTGGAAATGCAAACTTATCATAAACATTGAATATGTTTTGAAAATCTGAGATATATGTATTGGAACTGGTTAAAATTCGGAAGATGCATATTGGTAATATATGTTGGGATATATGTTGTGATCTTGTTCTCTTGTGAAGAGATGGAATGACCGGTGGGTGGGTCATGGTGATAAGAGTTGAATTGTAATCATTTTGAAAATTGAATAATTATGGTTTTGAAATTTGTACGAAATTTTGAGGACGAAATTCTTTAAGGGGGAGAGGTTATAGTGATCCCGGTTTTGCCTCGACCTTCATTGTGTACCGGACTCGGGTTCCGTAGTTGAACATTGTATCTATGTCTTTTTCCCCTTTGACTTTTTGTATTTGAGTTTTGGAACTTGTTGGGCAAGTTTGGAACAGGTTGGTTGTTTGTTGGTTTAGATTGTTATTGCCTAGATTTTGGCCTCATCACTTGAGCGAGGCTTCTTGCACTCGAGCGAACCTTGTGTAATTTGCTTCTTCGCTCGAGCGAGATTTCTTGCGCTCGAGCAAGGTTTGAGGGTCTTCAGGTTTCTCTCCCAGACGCAGTTTTTCTAGAAATGAGAAGTTCTTCGCTCAAGCGAAGCTTCTTGCGCTCGAGCAAGTTTGGTGAAATTGCTTCTTCGCTCGAGTGAGACTTCTTGCGCTCGAGCGTACGTGTGCATTTGTGGCAGACCTGAAGCTTTGTATTTTGCGCTCGAGCGACGCTTCTTGCGCTCGAGTGAGGTCACTTGTTGTGTCTAGTCGCTTGAGCGACAACTCTTTCGCTCGAGCGAGGACCACGTATATTAGTTCGCAGTAGACCATTTTTGTATCACTTTTGCATCTCTTTTCACTCAAAACCCTAATCCAACTCATTCTCTCTTTAAAAGTCTACTTCTCTCTACAAATCCCCTAGAATCTAAGGGTTTCTATTCAACTCCCTTTGAGAAAAAGATAGAGCAACTTGTGAGCTTCTATTTGATCCAAGAAAGTTTGAGTTTTGGGCATCTTCAAAGTTTCTCCTTCTCTCCTTTGAGCTTCTCCACTTGAGGTAGGGATATTCTACACCTTAGTATGATTTTTAACCTAGGTATTTGTTATTTTGTATAAATGATGGAATTTGGAAGCCTTTGGGTGAAACTAGGGTTTGAGCTTAAGATTTGAAATAGGGGTTTTCTATTTTAGGTCATGAAAATATTTGTAGGGCATTGAAGATGGGATTATATAGGTTACATTGATAAAATTTGGACTTGTAATTGACATTTGGAAAAAGGGAAAAAATTGCTCTAATTTGTGTTAAATAATTATTATGCATAAACAATGAAATTGATAGGGAAAATATGAAATTGGGAGGATGTGTTAATGAATGGTTTAGTTGGATTTGATAAATCACTCACCTATGAAAAATTTGGCAAATTATCTATTTAATAGATTTGCTTATCTGTTTAGAAATATCTGTTTTGGGCTATCGGTAGAGGATATCTATGATTGTTGCAGAAACTGCATGAGGACTAGGTAAATTGAAACTAGTCATATGAATTATGCCATTGAATATGATGGTTTGATTAAATTGTTGAATGTGTGAATTTGGTAGTCATTGTATATGGCATACTTTTGAATACATTGTATATGTATCATTGTTTGGGAGGAGATAAGGGATGGACTCCATTGATAATTAAGTTGGCCGGAGTGTCTAGGTTGAAAATTCCGAAATCTTATATGTATATGGGTACTGGTTCCCTCGAATGAGAATTCTGTAAAATGGCAATGAAATTGAAGTGTTTGAATAATGGTTGCTATTGAAGTATTGATAAATGAGTTGTAGCCTCGTTTGAGATTGTTTAGATAACAAGGGTTTATATCTATGAGTTGATTTGAATAAATGAATGGAAATGGTTTGAGATATTGATGTCATTATTGTTTAGTCATGATAAGAGGATGTCAGTTGGTTTTAAGCGTTGCATATATCTAATGCTTATATCTTAGTTAAATCCCATCCATTGTGTTAGTATATCTCTACTGGGCTTTGGCTCACCCTACTTGGGAAACCATTTTCAGGTACAGGTGGCATGCCACCTCCAAAGGCATAGCTTGAGATGACGGGGTTGAAGACTCTATTTTTGTTACCTATATGTTTATATGTTTTCTTCTTAAGACGAGGGCTTTAATTATAAAGAGCTTATAATTCTCTTTTGTTGTAACCAAGTTATCTCTTGGAACGATGTAAGCCCGTAGGGCATTTATTTTGGTTATTAGTAACTAGTGTTACATTCCGTAGTTTCAGAATGAATATTTATGAAAGTATAATGCATGTAATCTCTTTTGTAATA